CACAAATTCTCCTAAATCACTCGTACGCACAACTTAAGAACAAATCTGTGTGTACGAACGGTTCTTGCATGAGGTCCGATTGAGCTGAAATTTAGTGTAGTTGTAGCCAAGAGCAATCCCCATGACATTCTGAAAGCTAATCTCAGTTTTAAGGTAAGGGCTAATGCTAACTTGAGAAAGAGATATATTTCAACCAATTTTAGACACAAAGCTGAAAATTGGTATATTAGTAGCCGACAATAATCTGGGCACCTGCTGTGGTGCATGACACACATGATAATAAAATTACTACTACTACTACTACTAATAATAATAATTAACATATTCTGAATGCAAATCAAAAATTAAAGATGGCCACCTAAGTGCTATAACTCAGCTATTTTTAAATATATTGAGCTGAAATCTGTTGTGGTTTGAGCTGCGATCACCAAGACAAAAGTACATTCAACCAAACATGGCAGTCCCCATCCAAGTTTCTCAAGAAATGTCAGGGAAAATAGAGAAAACTGAGACTAAATTAAAAATTTCTGCACTTCTGACTCTAATTACACAACAAAATGTATTTAATGGCTAATACAGTGGCTTTTGCGTGTCATTGTTTTTGGTCTTTTTGTCTGTAGTTGTGAAGCATCAAGAAGGTATCTTTGGTGGGAAATCAGACAATACTTAATAACATTAACATAGTATTTGAGGTTATCGTTTGTATTCTTAAATCYTTTTTATATACTAAATATTTCTGGTGGAATAAACTTTATCTAAACGTAACAGCGTGTGCACACTTGRTGGTGCTGTAGCACCTCTACATGGCTGCTGCAGCCACAGGAAATGCGGTCATTGTTGGTGTTTGTGGTCCATAAGCTGAGCAATTTCTCTGGTAGTTAATAATTTTTCTTCTTCAGTTGCAGCTGTGGTAAAACAGTCAATGTATCAGTTGTTTAAGAAGAATCTGCTTTCATATAGGAACTAAAAGTGTCGTCATCCGAAGATGAAACGGCAAACACAAAGCTGGAGTTTGTGTGCCAAAGGTGTTCATTCTTATAGGCACAACGTGGATCAGTTTGAGGTCATCCTAGTTTGTTTCGGGTAATTCAAAGCAAACAAAGACAAGGTGTTGAAAAATGGATAAAACAAGAATATCCCGGTTTAAACAGACAATATAGTCGTGTTTGTTGGGTGCACTTCAGATATGAAGCTGCTGGTCCTCATCTGACAAASCAAATCACATCCAGTCTGATTTGTTTTATTCCCAAAGCTTTTGTTCTTAATAAAACCAGGATTATTTCTGCACGTCTGCAGCCATCTGCTCAGATCAGCATCCTGGTTTTACCCACACAAATGTATTTATTTATCCTATCTATGTGCTCGGTGGAACTGAAAGTGGGTGTTTGTTTGACTTRAAAAACGGTCGCAGTAGGTGGGGTCGGTTCAACAGTTTGTGTTTTTGTTTTGTTTTTTTCGTTCTGTTTTTAATGGACCAACACCCTCAAACCACATTCTGGTGACTTGTGCAAAACAGTGAGCATCCTTTCACTAATCTGCTCATAATCTGCRTCTGTCAGCTCTTCCTCTTATATGCACTCTCTTCCTCAGCTGTTTGTGATGCTAAAACGACTGAATGCTTGTTCATACGTRTTGTATAAATGTTGAACCAGCGTTCAGCGTTTGTTTGCCGCTTTTTTTATTTATCGTTTAATTTCTGTAATCCAACTACATCGTATTCTGCTGTTTTAGTTGTGATTGTATCAAAAATCTTCAACTCGTTTACAAGATAGATGCTCTGGTTTTTATAACTTTTATTATTTTCAAAATGTTTAACTTTATTTACAAATGTTTTACTCACAGAAATGCATTCAGTCTGTTTGAAATCTGCTTCAGCTAACGGTTATTTTTTATCTTCTAATGTAGCTTGTAGTTACTGTTCTGCTATTTTTAACTAGCCTTTAACTATTAGCCTTTAACTATTAGCCTTTTAATTATTAGCCTTTTAATTATTAGCCTTTAATTATTAGTCTTTAATTATTAGCCCCTCGCACTGTGACTGCTGGGTATGGGCACCAGTGACCCCCATGACCCTGAAAGCAGTGTTGAATAAAGTACCTCAAAGTGATACTTGAGTAAAAGTACAAGTATCTTATCATAAAAATACTTTGGTAAAAGTTAAAATCTTCTCTAAAAAATATTACTTGAGTAAAAGTCTTAAAGTATCTTATCATAAAAATACTTTGGTAAAAGT